TTTATTTTACAAACAAGTTACTTAGCAAGAGATAAAAAAAATGTGTGGAGGTTATTTTCTTAGGAGATGATGACAGTACCACCCAAAATTCGAGCACTAATATTGCCCAAGATTCCTAAGTCAAATAATAACACTCCAAAACTTAAAGATCAAGAAAGAACGTTACTATTGTATAAAAAACATTTAGGAAATACCTTTTTTGTTTTTATTAAACAACTAGTTAGTAATTTACAAAATGCACAAATATTTTATTTTAAAATAAATATATATAACAACATGTAATAAGATTATTTGAAACATTAGTTTTTCAAAAAAAATATTTTAATTTAACTTTATATCTATAAATAATATACATCAAAATAATAAATTATTTTATCAAATTACAGTAATTTTATAAAATAATTTTTTTAAATAATATATTAATAATTATAAATTTTATATAAACAAAGATTACAAAAAAAATTGAAGTTTATATAAAATAATATTTTTTATTAATAAATGTAAATATAGATATTCACAGAAAAATATAAAATTTTATATAAGATAATGAGAGAGAATTATGTAATAACTTTTATTTTCAAGTTTTAGAACAAAATTAATATAAAAAAAAAGTAAATTAGTTGCAATAAAGGGTATAATGCACATCTTATTTTCATAAAATTTTAATCATAAAAAGTATGCGTAACAATATTTAAAAGACAGTAACTCTGCTAAATACTTTACTTTTTAGATAAAGTATTATAGTTTATGATATAATCACAAAATATATAAATTTATTAAAAAACAAACTTAAAATAATATGATTTATATAGAATGGTTATTTACATAACTCCATTGCAGTTTATGCTTTCACTTGTGAGACAAAATTGAAACAAAGGGATAATGTGAAATCATAAACTTTAATTATTGTAATATTTAATTACAATAAATTGTTTTATCCACATCATTTCTTCAATAAGAAATTAAAACAATTATAAGAATATATATAAAATTTGTTAATAGAATATAGTGCAATATTATACCTAAAATTACTTTTAAAAATATCCAAAAACATGGAGGTATGATTTTGGTAAAAAAAAAAAAACCCGAAAGAAAGTATAATAAATAAGCCAGCTAAATAATATTATGAGCTAGAATAACAAAATACCAAAAATACATCTTTATAACATGAAGTCAAATTTAAAATTCATATTTTAAATAAAATTATCCTAAAACCCAATGAAAGTATGAATACTTCATTTTTACCTTTACTATAAATGTATTATAATAAAAATTTTAACCTATTTAGTAATTGATTTTCAAAATTATTAAATGACATAAATATTTTATTTATAATTTTTAAGTAGGAAAAATGGATCATTGATAGAAAATAAATAATAAATACACACATAAATGAAATTAATTATATTGAATGTTAGGCTTTATTGTTGCTTTAAGTGAAATTGCCTTTTCAGTTTTGCTGGGAGAAGGAACACTACATTTACGGTTTTGTAATCTCTTAATTAGTAAGATACATCAACTTGAAACATTAAATATGAAAAGTTGCGGAGAATAGTTGTTGTTAAAGGCCTATTTTATTACATTGGATTAGGTACCAATGTAACAACAACAAAAAAATGTTTTGCGGCATCTAATCGTACTTTGAGAAATTTAATGAGAATTCAGAGTGAAAAAAGTGGTAGTAAATAAAGCATTTGGAGTTAACGAAAATTCTCTCTGTTGTTCTTAAATAAAATAGATAAGAGATACTTGAAACAACAATTACCTCATCTTATATTTAGATCAATGCAAAATATTGAAGTTAACAAATAATATGCAATTAAATACTATACAAAAAGTAGAACAAGAGGCTGAAATTAAAAAATTCAAGTTGAATTATGTAAATCAAAATTAGGGATGAGAATGATCAAGCCCCGAGTTGAGGGTCTATGGCTTAGTTTATTAAAAATGTTAGGTTTAAACTTTTGAAAAGACCTATTTAAATAAAAAAGTTAGGCTTAAACTTTAAAAAAATAACTTTTCAAACTTATTAGACTAATTTAATTAAATAATTATATTATTTTATAATTTATATTTATTTATAACAATTTAATATAAATATAATTGTCCAGAAAATTTATATATATATATATATATATATATATATAAGAAAAGAATCTTCTTACACAAGTGTAAGTTTAAAAACTTTTACATTCATTCAATCTTAACCTTTCATTTAACTTACATATAACGACCAGTGAAATAATAAATTATAATTTGTTAGATATAAGTTAAATGAAAAACTCAGATTAAGTGTAAGAGTTTTTAAACTTACACTGGTATAAAAAATTCTGCTATATATATATATATATATATATATATATATATATAATATGTAATGTAAAATATAATTTAGTATTTATACTTTAATAATATAATAATTATAATTATACTATTAGAGAATCAATTAAAACTTACTCTAAAATTTTTTATCAATTAACATTTTATATATATATATATATATATATATATATGTATATATATAACATAATTTAGTATTTAATCTATAATAATATAATTATTATAATTTTACTATTAGAGTACTAAAATTTAAATTTATTGTAAAAAAAAATCATCAATTAAAACTTTGTTTGATTTCTAAAATATCTTAATCTATTATTAGAATTCATTTTTTCATAATTCTTATTCTAGTCTTTTTAATTCAAATACTTTTCAACTTCTTAATCCTAATATAATTTTTTAAAGTCATGACTGCATAAATCAAAAATAAAGAATTTCTTTGACAATTATTTATTGGGTTCTACGTTTTAGTTTCATTCTTTTTTTTTCATAATAAATATTCTAATTGTTAGCTTGGTATTTGAAATTACATAATATAGACATGTTACCTTTTGGATTATTTGAAATATGAAATTTTGTGGAGTTATTGAATATGGTCATGTTGAGATATGATGTCTTTAAAGCTATTCATATATATATATATATATATATATATATATATACACATACATTTTTTTTAACTAAACATAGTATAATTACTTATCCTATGTTTTCCATTTTAGTAGTAACAAACTTTCAACTTGTTAGTTCTTTGGCTTGCTGGCTCACTAAATTTAAATTTAATGTTATTTGAAGGTCTTACTATTAAATAAGCTACTAAATAAATTATTAAGACAAGTTAGATTTTTAAAAAGGTCAGAGCAAATATAAAAAATTAACCTATGTTAGGTCATAAGTCTAGTCTTAGGCTCTAATTTTATTAATAGGCTAAACCTATTTAAAATCATAGGTCAGTCTATCCTAACTCATTTTCATCCTTAATTCAAATGTAGAACAGAAAAATAAAAATAAAAAATGAAAACGACAAATATGATATTGAAATTCCTTTTGGTTTATTGATACTTAATCACACATTTTTAAGGCTTTTGGTAAACTTTACTTATATATCCTGAATTGATGCAAAAAAAATGATTGATTTTAAATAATTTTCTACGTAAGAAGTTAATAAATTATTTGTGCAAGTTCCTCTATCATTTCATAAATTTCGCATGTTTAGATTTCATCATTTATTTCATATTTAACTTTAACTTTTAAACAACACCTAATTTTTATAATTATTTTTACATATATATTTTTAATATAACGTAAAAATTATATTTATCAATAAATATCATTATCTGTGAAATTTTTTAAGAGAGCTATTTTGTTTCTATAAAAGAATTCAAAATCATAAATAATTAATTTTTTTTTACCGGTTCTAGGTGAAAAAAAAAAAGAACATTTAAGTTTAGGCATGAATGTTTCTCATGTAAGGATTGAGAAATAGGAGAGAAGTGATTTACTATTAACTTTTTAATAATATTAAATGTTTAAGATTTCTTAACCACAAAAGAAGATTAAGGCCAAATACTCCAGGTATTTTATTGAGAATCATATATTAACATGTTGGTTTATATAATGAAATCAAGATTAGAGAAAAATGTTATTAGTGCAATAATAATTACAAAAAAAATATTATCGACAACATTTATATTCTTAAAAATGAATACAATTCCTTTAAATCCAATATTCTTATTTATTATATCTTTGTATTTCAATAACAGTAATTATCTCATGCTGTTTTCTTCCTTTTGAGACTAGTTTTTTTACATGGATAATTGTGCGTTGCTTTATCCAAAACCGTCTCAAAATATTGACTTTAGATAAACACAAAAATTCATGTTCTTCTACAAAAGTGTCGTTTATAGTAAATTTTTTAATATTTTACTATAAATAACTTGGTTCTAATTAGCTTAAGAAAATTAATTTATTGTTGCAAAAGTAATATATTTTCATTAAAATACAGTGATAATGTTAAAGTTGTAAAAATGCAACAAATATTTTTTCTTCAACAAATTTTTTCAAAAATAATTGTTTAATTTAGTCATAAAAAATAGAGATTAACCTTTTTTTGTTAACAATTTATTGCTTTAGTACAATAACAAAAATATTATTATAAATTATCTTTGTTCTTATTTGTATACATTGTTGTCCTAAATAATAAAAAAGGACAGCAATATAATTAAAATAATAATTATAAAATCTTTGTGTATATCTATCAGAGATGCACAAAAGGAAAATGAGGGGTCAACGGTCAATCGCACAGATAAGCAACCTCTCTATGTAATATTTGTTCCCGATGGAGCTTTCCATCCATTCATTTTCTTTCTCTCTCTCTCTCATGCACGAACGCAAAACAAACGACGACTATTTCAATTCCCAACCCCTAAATTTTTTTAGAAAAAGGAGATTTTAAAAAAGTAAAAAAATTAATAACAAGTTAACAACGATAAGCACTAAAAACAAGTAGAGGAAATCAATTAAGGGAAATAAAAAGAGGGAAAAACACAAAGCGAATACCTCTCCAATGTTGTCTTGGCATTTATCATTCTGAAACGCCTTATTCCCTTTTTGTTTTTTCTTCGAGGGAAACCATAATCGTCGTCACAATAATAATCATAATGGAGAAGAACCTTGGTGACCATTCTGGCAGTTTCGTTCGCAATGATAAGGAGGATGCCAATGTCAATGACACCGCTCATTCGTCGATGGCACCAGAGCCTACAGATAAAGTCGATGGCGAAATTGAAAAAGCCGCAGATGCAGACCACGTTCATGGAGCACCAGAATCAAAAGAAGAGGAAAAAGAAGAAGCAATTGTCGAGGTTCCACCAGAATCTCCCCCTCCGAGCCTCGAGAAGGTTTCTGAAGGCATAGATCAATTCCTGATGACTTTACAACCGAATGACAACAACAACTACAACCACAATGTAGATGCCAAGAAAGTCACATTGGAGATGGCTAATTTCATCCACACGTTCTTAGATTTGGTGGAACAGAAGATCGCAAAGTACGAAACAGGTGAAGCCAAATGGAGCGAGGCGGCGGAGGAGGATTCATCGTTTTTGGAATTCGTGAATCGCATTTCAAAGCTGTTGAAATTATTTGCAGAGTCTCAAGCTGAAGAGGAACAAGAAGAAAACAAGGTCAAGGGAAGAAAAGACCTTTTGATCAACAGCCTTGGCGCCATTCAGCAACGAGCAATGTCATTTTTGGAGGAGGCGTTTCGATCACTGTTGGAAGAATCTAGAAACCAAGACAAATCAGAACCCGACCCAAAAGGGAAACACGTGGCAGAACCGTTGGAGTCTGAGCCAGCCACTGAGACGGTTACAGATTTCCCCGGTTTCACGGAGGAAACAATTACAAATCTGAAGAAGATAGCAAAGGAAATGATAGCAGGTGGGTACAAATACGAGTGCTGCCAGGTGTATGCAATTTCAAGGCGGCACACGTTCGAGGAGAGCTTGCACAAACTGGGCTACGAGAAAATCAGCGTCGATGAGATTCAAAAAATGCAATGGGAAACGCTGGAGAGGGAGATTCCAACGTGGATAAACATCTTCAAAGAGTGCACCACACTATGGTTCCCTAACGAACGAAAACTGACTGAGTCGGTGTTCGCCGACGAGCCTTCGAAGTCAGCGAGCCTTTTCAAATACCTTTCTCGTAGCATTATGATTCAGCTTCTCAATTTTGCAGAGTGCGTCGCTATGACAAAGCGCGCAGGAGAAAAGCTCTTCAAATTGCTCGACATGTATGAAACCCTAAGGGACGTGATTCCAAATATGGAGAATCTTTTTCCCCTGGAATGTGTAGCAGAACTCAAGTCTGAATTAACATTGGCTAAGTGTAGACTTGGCGAGTCTGCGGTGTTGATATTTTGCGATCTCGAAAACTCAATCAAGTCCGAAACCGGTAAAATACCGGTTGCCGGTGGCGCCGTTCATCCTTTAACGCGCTACATCATGAACTACCTGAGGTTAGCGTGTGAATACAAAGACACTTTGGAAGAGGTCTTCAAGGAACACTCGAAGATTGAGCGTGCAGACTCAACAAGTAGGCCTCACTATGAAGGAGGTGAAAATAAAAATAACAACCAAAGAGATAAAGAAAACATGTCACCGTTTGCAGCGCAGTTACTGAGGGTTATGGAGCTTCTTGACTCAAACCTTGAAGGGAAGGCGAAGTTGTACAAAGAGGTAGCACTAAGCTGCATCTTCATGATGAATAATGGGAGGTACATCGTTCAAAAGATCAAAGGTTCTGCAGAGATTTACCAAGTTATGGGTGAAACGTGGTGTCGTAAAAGATCCACAGAGTTGAGGACATACCACAAGAACTATAAGATAGAAACGTGGGGTAAAATTGTCAGTTGCCTTAGCCTTAAAGGGGTGAGCGATAGTGGGAAGGTGCACAAGCCGGTGGTGAAGGAACGATTCAAGACCTTTAATGCGTTATTTGAGGAGATTCATAAGACGCAGAGTACGTGGGTGGTGAGTGATGAACAGCTTCAGTCAGAGCTAAGGGTTTCTATTTCGGCACTTGTGATTCCTGCGTATAGGTCATTCTTAGGGAGGTTTTCGCAATACCTGGACCCAGGGAGACAAACAGAGAAGTATATCAAGTACCAAGCTGAGGATATAGAGAATTATATTGATGAGCTATTTGATGGGAACCCTCACCATCAAGGCGCTGCTAGAAAGAAAGCATGATCGCAGTGACACCATGCACATGGATGAATGAAGCTTTGAAGATTGTATGATTTAGAAAGGAAGATTTATCGTGCCATGAACGCGCCTATTGAAGCTTTTCTTCGGTTGTTTTGTCATGAACAGTGGGAAAAGTTGAGTTTGAATGTAATGACTATGACCTTTCTTTTGTATACAGGATTCAGATAGTGCTTAGGGTCAGTTCCTCCCTTTTTGTTCAAATTTTCAAGCCATCCCCATATTTTCTTTTTTAATTTTCCTTTGAATTCTCATCAATTGAGTTTTTGTCTTGCCTGTTTTGCCAGGCATAATTAACTCCTTTGTGAATTGTGATTATAAGACTTGTCTTCGTTGTAAGATCACAACTAATTCTTTCATGAATTTCGAACAATTAAATTTACACTAATTAACATTTTCATTTGGAAACAATCATATTCAATTACCTTACGGTTAAAAAATAATTCATCTTTCTCTTTTTCATGATTAATTGTTCCTTCCCTTTCTAATACTTAATTTCAAAAGTTAATTTTCTTAATGCTTTTGTTCACTGAAGTTATTTCTCTTTTTTTCTTCTCGAGGTCTCTCTACCTTTTGCTTTCTATACATTTTTCCTTCAAATCTTCTATTTTTTTTTATACATTTTAATTCAGATAAAATCATCTTTATTTTGTGCGGAAAAATCCTACAATGTAAAATAAACCCCGTAGAATTTTTTTTTAACATTGGTAGGAAAAGAAAAACATAACTTTATTGTAAAAAAATTATATACTGTTGCATCCAATGTCAAAAATTTTATTACCATTATAAAAAATTGTTGATAAAGACTTAATTTATTATCGTTAAAAACTTCAATTTATAATAACAAATAATAATAATTTAAATAGTTACTAAAATTAATTTTTTATTTATTTACTAGCCTTTATTATTATTGGTAAAATTTTGAAATTTTTTATTAATAATTAATAAAATCTTAATTTGAATAATTTGATTAGTAAAAATTTTAGTGACAATAATATTTGTATATAAAAATTTTAAATAACAATAGGCAAAATTAGTATTTTCATCTCTTAACTTTAAAGTAAATTTAAATTTCTTCCTCCAACTTTTTTTTTATTTATTTTAATCCTCTAACTTTTATAAAAATTTTAAATTGGTCATTTTTTGTTTAAAATCTTAACTCCATTAAAAAAAATTATCGTTTTGTGTCACATATATCTCGTTCACCTTCCTCAAATATTTGACCTAATCTTTAACACCTCTTTCACTTTCTCCTCTATTTCATCTTCATTTACTTATATTCAAAACTCTATCTTCTTGTCACCAACACCAAGCAATCACTCCTAAATCTTAAATTATAAATAACCTAACTTTCAAAATACTCATTTCCCATATCTGGAGGATTTAAACGCAAAAATATTTATGTTCCCATTTTTCATTTTATTGTTTTTTTATGCAACCATGGCCTTCAAAGCCTTCACTAACAAGAATATCGTATTCCAAAAGCTTAAAGCATAGTATGAAAAATAAGGTTATTTCAATTTGTGTGTTCAAGATGGGAAATAAGTATTTAGAAAGTTGATTTGTCTATGATTTGAAATTTAAGAGTGGGTGTGTAGTGATGGTGACAAGAAGATGGAGTTTTGAATATAAGAAGATGAAGATGAAAGAGAGAAGGAAGAAGGAGAGGTGTTAGAAATAAGGTTAGAGATTAGAGAAAGGATTTTAACAAAATGAAAATAAAAAGAGGTGTTAGAAATAACTGCATAGTATACTTGACACAAAATGATTAGTTTTTAACAAAGTTAGGATTTTAAATAAAAAAGAACTAATTTGAAACTTTTGTAAAAGTTAAAGAACTAAAGTGAAAAAAAAAGAGTTAGAGGATGAAATCGAAATCTACCTTAAAGTTAAGAGAAGAAAATAATAATTTTGTCATAATAATATACATACAATTATTTTAAATAAATAATAATAAATCATTTTAAAGAAATGACATATTTGACTTACTCAATAGTCAAATTTGTAAATTCCATTATCAAAGTTCACACATCATAAATAATAATAATTTTATGTAAAAAGAAAATTCAACATGAAAGCACATCTCATATTTCAAAGTATGTTATATGGTATTTCTTTAAGTATTGTTTGTCTATTAGCAAGAAAATAAAAAATGAAGAACAAGAAATGCTTTTCAATATGAAAGAAGATCATAGTAGTGTTTGGCTTTACTTGTTCAAACTTCTCTTCTTTCAAAATTCATCTTTTCACCATGACCATGCTATTAACTTTTTGCATGAAAAAAATAAAATAAAATCATTAGCCTAATGATCTCATTGCATATTTTATTCTCTTTTATTCCATTATAGGTCATCCCACTCAATTATATTTATTTCCATGTATAATAAATTAGACATCTAAAAAAGCATAGGATTTTTAACTTCATTATAACCATACAAAAATATATTAAAGTCAAAACTTGGAGAAGAATACTAAATGCTTCATTAATTTATTTATATAGAATACAGTAACAACAATATTAATAAGAAATGATTTGGTAAGATAATAATTCTTAAGTATCATAACAAAATTAGGATACTTGTCAACCTAAACTATGAAGCTTATGAATCTCCAACCTTTCATCACCTAACTTTTCAAGAGTTGTTACATATAATACAAATATAATAGTAGATTGCAAATTAATAATAATTATTCTATATTAATAGTAGGTAAATATGTTAAAAATATAAAAACAACAAAAATGAGCATTATATTAACACATAAAAATAAAAATATAATACCATGAGAAAGTACACACTTTTTATTAGCATTATGTGACTGAAGTGGTTGTCGTACTTGTTCAGCACTATTATAAGCATCAGGAATATAGAAAATACGATATTGTGAGAAAATAAACTTATCTTATAATAACATCTGTTAAGAAAAAATAAAGTTTAAAAACTTAATTTGAGAACCTTACATGTGTAAATGAGCTTCCATTACAACTTTGAGTCTTAGATAACTCAGTAGTAAAATGTTTACCTATAACTTGTCTCAAGAAAGATAAGTCTAAAAGTAACTTATCTTGATTTTATTTCATCAAATCCATTTCAACATCATGTTTTTCTTTTAGTTTTTTTTATCTCTTACTCTAACCTTTGGATAGCTTCATTAGATGTATTGTCTATAATAATATTCTAAAAAATACTTATTACCCTATAGGAAAGTAGTTAGACCAAGTCTCAAATTACGAACTTAGTCACCTCTTTCATTTCCCAACACTTGGGAATATACATCTCCTTCCTAAGCAACACTCAATTTGGCCATTTGATGAGGTCTCAACATTATTCAACTTTTCTTGAATAGTTTCCTAAGTATAATAATAAACATTACAATTCATATCATACTCAAACTCATTTACAAAATAATATATTATAATCTACAAAAGATAAAATTTCATTAAAAAAATCTTACTATTATTTTTGCAAACTCTTCATGTAACACCTTATTTATTTCAATTCATTTCCAATAAAAATAGTTTTGCAACTTAAAGGAGATAATTAAAATTTTCATTTCAAATAACTTCGAATACAATGTTTCAATAAAATATTTCAAAATATGGGATGTGTTACAAATTTGAATCAAAATAAATGCTACATGACCTATTTAATACATCACAAATTTCAAAAATATAAATTTTTAAGTCCTATAACAGTATCATCCATCTCATTCATTGAGTTTGGTGTTGATCATCTTGGTCATCTGAAAATAAATATAAGGGTGAGTCTTTTATGTTATCACTCACACAAGTACAGAGACTCACCTTGTCTATTTTATAACAATCTTTAATATAATAAAATCACACCTTAACATCATTAATTTATTCTTTTCAACAACACACACACATATTTGCACATCAATCTATATACAGGTGCGCTCACTGTACCTTCAATCATTTCACACACACATGTGCACCCACTGCACATTAGCCATGCTCACTATGATACTGTGATCATAGTTTCTTAACGCCCTCAACCTTAGGGACTTACTCAGTTTCATACCATGGATGGTCACCGATTAGCCCCTACCTCATGGATATAACGTGTGCAGTCACAGACCCTTTAACAAAGGTATTAGTCAAAGGACAAGTTAGGAGAAGAGTGTATGGCCTGTGATGCACCCACGCTCATTATTGGTATGTACTTTTGTGATTATGTGTAATGTACTTTTTTTTATACACTCTGATAGTTGTTAATTTGCCTTAAGCTTCATAGATAACTTTATTACTCTTAAAATTGCAAGATTTAATTACTATGACTAGGTTTATGCTATTAGAAATATCTTTTGCATTTTTTTATGGACGAAATTAAATAAGCAAGAGAATTAGCTTTCTTTAAGTGCACTTATTAGGTTGGTAATCACACACTGAGTGTATCTCACCTTTGAGGAAATTGAATAAATGTGTAAGTTACATGTTTCATCTCATATTAGTAATAATTGATTCATGAGCAAGTGAAGATAATTAAGTTTGCTTGTATGATTATGTCAGTACTTAGTATGACTATGTTATCCAAGTGGTATTTCATATCACCATGATTTCTAAAGTTTTGAATGTTTAGATGAGATTTCATGATCAATTATTAGTAATAGGAGCTTGATATGTATCTTTATATATGTTGTTGTCTATCAAGTGTATGAAGAATTAAGCTTTCATATCGTAACCACATGTCACTTGATAGATGTAATGAGAAGTAAATATCTCAATTCTTAAGAATAATAATAATATGTGTAAACCAAGTTGAGCAAGTTGTTTATATATATCTAGTTAAAAATAAAAATTTCACATTGTGCAAGGACTTATGAGCTAAAGTTAAAATGACAATGGTTATTACATTACATGGTATGTTATATCGCAACATTATATTTCAGTACACGATACCTCAATTTGTTGATGTCAAGTGTCTAGCCAAAATGGTCTAACTATCACCGCTCTATATAACACAGTA